GTACTTAAAGGCCACTCCTAACTGATAAGCTTTCCGAGAAAACGTCTCTCCCCCTGCTGCATTTAATTCAAGAGTTGACGGTAAAGTATGTGCAGTTTTTCATTTTTTTTATTTTTCATATGTTGGTGCTGCACAGGGGAGACGCCTCCTAGTAAGGCAGATCTGTTTGCGTAATCCTGGGTGGACTTCTTTAACACCGAGGCCCGGCAGCTGAGGTCACCAGCCAAGGCTACAAGTGACTTCACTTTTCATGAGGCAAATGTAATTACCAGCACATAAAGAGCGAGATGGAGGTCATAAACTGGCTTCAGTGCAAGCTTAGCAACAAGGAAGCTCGCTAAGTGGCAGTTTTCCTTCAGTGTGTGGCATCTTCACTTTGAGTTTAGCGAAACATCCTCTGCAAAAGACATAAAAGGAGTCCCTTTCCACTTTAAGCTCTGTCTAAGTCGATGTACTCAAATGCTCCTTTTCCCCCCTCTGAGTTTTAATTCTGAATGAAAGAATTTGACCTCACTAGTCTCTGGAAGATATTATTAGAGGATAATACTTGACAACTTTAAACAAAACACATACATCACCATGCCATTAAACTCCAGAGAGAGCACTGCAGTGTGTTTGGATTAAAGTGGAGCTGCGCATAGTGAGACTGAAAAGGTACTACAAGAGGTCAGTGGAAACAGGACTGAGGCTTTTGTGTTGCAGAATAGTTTCCCATCACTTTAGATTTCCTTGGAACAATACAGGCAGCCCACAACTTTTCAATTTGCCCTCAACTATCTGACTGCAGCTGAAAGTGCTAAGCTAGGCTGCTGCGTGGCTTGGTGGTGATGTTCTTTGAATACTTCTATTGTTCTGTGAGGACAACAGACAAACAACATTGCTATAAAAGAAGGAGGAACCGCGCCATCTGCCCTCTGATATATTGACATGGAACTGTTTGTACAGAGAAGAGGGCAATGTTCACTGAACCTCAGGGCTAATGTCACTGTCACACAGTGTGAGGACAGTTTAGACAAATAAATCGTTTTCGAGCATAGCCATACGACACGAAACGTTCACGTGAACCTGAGCTGAATGTTTTGAGAATAATACAAGCGCTTACTTTGTGAGGAGCTCGTGGAGGCATTTGTGCCCTCGTAATTCCGCAACGGCGGACGGGGTGTCGCCTTGCCTGTTGGCCAAACGAAGGGCTCCTCTTGCCCCAGCCTGCTGCAGCAAGAAGTGTGTAACCTGAAAGAGACCTCGACGTGCTGAGAAATGCAGCAGAGTCTCCTGAGGATTCAGATCTGAGGAAGAGAGAGAAGATGACAAATAAAGACCAAAAGAATCAAAAAGAGAGAGCGTGACAGAGCGCGGCGGTCCGGGGAGCTAAATCGTGGCAAAGCAGCCAACATACCATCAATTGTGGCAGCCTGGCAACGCTGCGGAGCAGTCTAATTAAACCAGTTCAGGATCCACGTTGACCCAGCATACAACAGACATTTGCACACTCACAGACTGATAAAACCATAACTTGTCTCCTTCCTGCTATGTCCATCAGATGATCAGTGCAGGTATCAGCAGGACATAACTGTCATTTTGTGATTAAACCCAGCATGCCGACTGACTGTAATTGTAATCATGTCTTCTGTGTGCCTGAAAAATACCATATCAAGATTTTGACATGTTCAGTGAATGCGGAAAAGCCTTTGAAGCATCATCGGACAAATGAAAGCAACAACAGTAATGGCTCTATGAATAAATCAAAAGACACCATTTAATTTCAGCAGATGTTAACCACATACCAGCACACCACAGTCCCATTTTTAATTTAAGTCCATTATTAGCCCAGTATATCAGTCAGACTGCTAATAACACCATCAAACACCAAGATCCT